CTGGTGACATTCCTATTGGTGGGGGACACTGGTGACATTCCTATTGGTAAGAGACACTGGTGACATTCCTATTGGTGGGGGACACTGGTGACATTCCTATTGGTTGGAGACACTGGTGACATTCCTATTGGTGGGAGACACTGGTGACATTCCTATTGGTGAGAGACACTGGTGACATTCCTATTGGTGAGAGACACTGGTGACATTCCTATTGGTGGGAGACACTGGTGACACTCCTATTGGTAGGAGACACTGGTGACATTCATAATGGAGGGAGACAATAATAACATACTTATTGATGGGACACACTGGTGACATACCTATTGGTTGGAGACACTGGTGTCATTCCTATTGGTGAGAGACACTGGTGACATTCCTATTGGTGAGAGACACTGGTGACATTCCTAATGGTGGGAGACACTGGTGACATTCCTATTGGTGAGAGAAACTGGTGTCATTCCTATTTGTGAGAGACACTGGTGTCATTCCTAATGGTGGGAGACACTGGTGACATTCCTATTGATGGGACACACTGGTGACAGACCTATTGGTTGGAGACACTGGTGTCATTCCTATTGGTGAGAGACACTGGTGACATTCCTATTGGTGAGAGACACTGGTGACATTCCTAATGGTGGGAGACACTGGTGTCATTCCTATTGGTGAGAGACACTGGTGACATTCCTATTGGTGAGAGACACTGGTGACATTCCTATTGGTGAGAGACACTGGTGACATTCCTATTGGTAAGAGACACTGGTGACATTCCTATTGGTGGGAGACACTGGTGACATTCTTATTGGTGAGAGACACTGGTGACATTCCTATTGGTGGGAGACACTGGTGACATTCCTATTGGTGGGAGACACTGGTGACATTCCTATTGGTGGGAGACACTGGTGACATTCCTATTGGTGAGAGACACTGGTGACATTCCTAATGGTGGGAGACACTGGTGTCATTCCTATTGGTGAGAGACACTGGTGACATTCTTATTGGTGGGAGACACTGGTGACATTCCTATTGGTGGGAGGCACTGGTGACATTCCTTTTACTGAGAGACACTGGTGACATTCCTATTGGTGAGAGACACTGGTGACATTCTTATTGGTGGGAGACACTGGTGACATTCTTATTGGTGGGAGACACTGGTGACATTCCTATTGGTGGGAGACACTGGTGACATTCCTATTGGTGGGAGACACTGGTGACATTCCTATTGGTGGGAGACACTGGTGTCATTCTTATTGGTGGGAGACACTGGTGTCATTCCTATTGGTGGGAGACACTGGTGACATTCCTATTGGTGGGAGACACTGGTGACATTCCTATTGGTGAGAGACACCGGTGACACTCCTATTGGTGAGAGACACTGGTGACATTCCTATTGGTGGGAGACACTGGTGACATTCCTTTTGGTGAGAGACACTGGTGACATTCCTATTGGTGGGAGACACTGGTGACATTCCTATTGGTAGGAGACACTGGTGACATTCCTATTGGTGAGAGACACTGGTGACATTCCTATTGGTGGGGGACACTGGTGACATTCCTATTGGTGAGAGACACTGGTGACATTCCTATTGGTGGGAGACACTGGTGTCATTCCTATTGGTGGGAGACACTGGTGACATTCCTATTGGTGGGGGACACTGGTGACATTCCTAATGGTGGGGGACACTGGTGACATTCCTATTGGTGGGGGACACTGGTGACATTCCTATTGGTGGGAGACACTGGTGACATTCCTAATGGTGAGAGACACTGGTGACATTCCTAATGGTGAGAGACACTGGTTTGTCTTTCTGTGTTGACATTTGACTGATAGTCTTTATTCAAAAGTTCTACCTTGTTTTACTTACTGCTGTCTAGACTAGTTTGACTAACCAGAGGCTCATATTCATTTGGACAAATATGTGTACGGTCATTGAGTGAAAATTCAACATTTTCATCTGGCATTGTCTGGTGATGCTAAGGCGAACATGAATGCTAGTCATCTACCGAACACTATACAGAAAAGCAGATGCAGAAACAGCAATCATCAATCTGCAAGGAAGCTATCCACTGTGACCATAGAACATGTGATAATAACTTTGTTTATCAATTCGTGGGTAGTTTTAGAACACCGTCGTTTAATAAGTTATTTGGCTGCTACTATTGACTTCAGATTTTTTTCTTCCAGATTCTTGTTTCAGTATGCTTTATAAATGATATAAGACCATATTCATACTGTGCATCATTTAAACCCCATTTCACCACACCACAGGTTTCATAATCTATTTGTGGTACCCTATTTTTCTTCATATTGCTAGAATCTATTTTCTGGATTTTAAACAATATCACCACTTAAGGTGGTGAGGTGAAATGGGGTTTAACGTCGTGTCCAAGATTATTGCACTTATATAGCGACGTGCATGCACGTGTATGTGTGTGTGTGTGGCTGCTTGTACTAGTCCGGACTGATGCCGATTTATAGTGCTAGCTCACTGAGATACCATGCCTCAGTTTAACATGAATACCCCACTCAGACACAGTATACTGACTCCGAGCCGACCAGTCCTTGTTTAGCCCCTTAATGCCGACGCCAGACAGGGTAACAACAAGTACCATCTGTTAACGTATTTTGGTATGACGCGGCTGGGGATCGAACCCCGGACCTTCCGCTCTCCGGGCGGATGCTCTACCTTTAGACCACGGAGGCGGTCTCCACCACTTAATAATGAAGCTAAACTTGTGAAGGATTGTTAAGCTTGGAGCTGTAACTATTGTTGACTCTAAACAAGCAGACAGTAACTTGATCAATTTTACCAAGTACAACCAGTCAATACAACAAACAGTGCATCGACAGGCCACCAATTAGGACTGACAATTATGACAACTCACAATTGATTTGTAATGTGGCATTGAAAGGAAGCAGTCCCTTACGACAAGCAGGCTTGTTAACAGAGTAAGGCTGATGCAAATACTGAGCAAAGTAAACAAAGATCAAATGACTTAAATCCATCATTTTAACTGAACCATTTGGAACTCCTTTGGGAATTGAGTTTAACTGTGGGTATATGTCTCACATTGGATGACCTTCATTCATCTGTCAGATTGAATTTCACCTGTCTTTATCTCCACTAAGTGACTTTAAGTTGTTCCAAATCAACAAAATTCTAGTTGAAAATAATATTCATGTTCAAAGCCATGTTAGCCATTGACATGATATTGACATTGGCTTTGTGAGGGGCGGTCAGGTAGCCAAGTCACAGGCTAAAGCATTCGCTCGTCATGCCGAAGACTCGGGTTTCGACTCCTGACATGGGTACAATTTCTGGTGTCCCCCGCCGTGATATTGCTGGAATATTGCTAAAAGCGATGTAAAACCTTACTCACTCACTCACTCACTCACTCATAGACTTTGTTGCTATTGCCCAATTCATAAACCTCGCCTGAAAATACTGGTTTCCAGGTTAGAGATGCATTGTCTGGAAATGAGTGCCAAGTCTGGACACACATATGTGGGATGATGTAACATCAGCTCACTTCTGCATTTGCTTGCATTATTCCTTACTTCCATACACTTTTCCCTCGCTTTACCATCTTCATGTTCCATTTCATGTCACCCACCCAAAGTGGAGCGATAAGTTTGTAAATGATGATGGCTATATTCTTAAAACCAAACATAGTGGACTGTTGGGTACTCAGGTGGACATTTGGCATCTTGGGCTACAGCTCCAATTATTAATGATACGAGATAGGGCTGCCTGCTTTACAGCAGGAACCAAGTTATCCATTCTACTTTACAGAAGATGTCTTAGTGTCTGCTTTACAACGGATGGTCTGCTTGGCCACAAAAGTTACCCTCACTCACTATTTGTCAAAAGTAGTTGCAAAGCAGCATTGGTTGCCTGTGCAGTTGTTGTTTGCAGGGCAACAGTCATTGCATTGGTGTCGCTTAACATGGGTTAAGCTCACATTCTGCAGCGCACAGGTACCTCCACATCCACGACCATTACATAATCCCAAATAACATTTCGTCTTAATTTCAAGTTCTGCTATCATGCAAGATAGTGGAGCCTCTCCTGATGGGGTCATGTTACATATAATAGCATTTAGTGATTAGAACTAAATGCCTTTATGTTAGGCTTGGCACAGTTGCTAATATTATTACAGCGAAATACCTTCATTCCGTGCGGCTACGTGCCGTTTTGCATGGTGCCATCGTCTCTGGCCTAGATCCGCTCTTGGCACGTCCGGTAAAGGAGCGTTTGTTTATATTTTCTATGACCTGTTGTAGCGTGACATCAGCTCACGCAGCACTTGCTCTCCAGCTTTCAGCCATACAACACATAGTTATATTCGCGCATTCATCTATAGTTCATTGCATAGTTCGTTGCAATTACCATTAAGAATGCCACCAAAAAGACGGGCCGCCTTAAATCACCGCCTCGTAAGGAGCGGGAAAATAGCCAGGAGGGAACCAAGTGTCCGGCAAGCGACATCGGCTACTGGTAAGTCACGGAGATCAGCTAGATCTCCATTGCACGGACCCCCCTTGCCAAGTGTACAAATAGCTGCTAACTTGCTAGTTGAAGCAGATGATTCGGACAATCCAAACGTTCTCCCGCGATTCGATCACGGAGACATCGAAGAGCCCCAACAAGTGGGGTCGCCCGTTCCGTCGATGCTAGCTATATCGAGCCAACTCAACAGCATACTGGATATGCTAGGCAAACGGATGGCCCAAGATACTTCTCGGAGCTTTACTGGCATGCGAGGGGTAAGTACCAATGATCTGGGGGTAACGGGGTCGGTGGTGTCAAGAAATCCCGATGTGTTGTCATTTAGCAGTGCACACTCGGGCGAGCCGGGAGTTTCCCGTGACGTCACACCACGTGCAGAGTCAGGAGCGGGGTCAACCAATCAGGGAACAGGGGATTCCCTGACCTTCCAGGCGGATGCTATCAGCGCTCACGTCCGTCAAGTTGTACGGGAGAGAGTATCGAGATGGGAGTTTGTGGAGTTGACTACATTGTTGCCAGGCGCACAGTCGCATGACGATGACGATGCATTTAAGATGCAGATGGATTCGTCGGGTAATCTGCGATTCTCGCCGGCCAAGCCGGCTAACGCCAGGGCATTAAGCATAGGCCAATGGACGTCAGCTTTCCACATATATATGAGCATTTACGTGGTGAAACATTTTTGTCAGTCCACCATACAGGGCATGTTGGCATACATGGAAACAATCCGTAATGCCGCAGTCCGCTCCGGGGGTTTTGGCTGGTCAAACTACGACCAGCAATTCCGACACCGTATGGCACGAGACCCAATTCGGGAGTGGGGCAAGATAGACGGTGAATTGTGGTTGAAGCACATGACACCGACTATGTCCCGTGTTCAAGAAAATAAGACTGAACGCTTTACAGTGCCTTTCAGCAGGGGCCGTGACTTTACAGTCAACGCATGCTGGGACTACAACAGGTCAAGGTGCGCCAGGCCAGAATGCAAGTTTATTCATAAATGCTCCAATTGTGGCGAACAACATCCCGCCTATTCTTGCTTTCGCGCAAAGGGGGGTCGTAGACCCTCCAAACAACTTAACTCCACACAGGCAACCCATGCTAAAGGCACTGGCCCCAACTCCACTCATACTCACTAGATTAAAGCGACATTTGCAACTGTACAAGCATTCTAACCATGCCCATGCCATTTATTTATTACAAGGTTTGGAATCAGGTTTTCAACTGGAATATAGTGGGGCACGCCTAAGTCGTTGGTCTGAGAATCTACGCTCAGCCAGGGATCCCATTTTACAAGAGATAGTAGCTGCCAAATTGAAAAAGGAAGTAAAATTAGGTAGGGTGGCAGGTCCTTTTGAAACGCCGCCCCTGCTGAACCTACAAGTTTCACCCATCGGTCTCGTACCCAAAAAGCAAACGGGTAAGAGTCAAACCTTGCTGGGGACAGACGATTTTCGTTTAATACACCACCTTTCTTATCCTCAAGGCAGATCAATCAACGACAACATAGACAGCGAAGCATGCTCCGTGTCATATGCACGGTTCGACGAGGCTGTCAGTATGGTACAGCAACTTGGTCCAAATGCTCTACTTGCAAAATTTGATGTGAAATCGGCTTTCAGGATTATGCCGGTACACCCTCAGGACTTTGAGTTGCTAGGCTTGTGCTTTCAAGGTAAATACTACTTTGATAAATGCTTGCCGTTTGGCTGTTCCATATCATGCTCAGTGTTTGAAAAATTCAGCACCTTTTTGCAATGGTGTGTCCAGCAAAAGTTGCCTAACGGCCAACTCATGCATTACCTTGATGATTTTCTCACAGGCGGAACTGCAGGAACGAAAGACTGTGGTGACAACCTTGATACATGTCTCAGTACTTTCCAGGAGCTGGGCGTACCCGTAGCACATGAGAAGACAGTAGGTCCTGCATCCTGCTTAACATTCCTAGGTCTTGAAATCGACACAGTCAGGATGCAGGTTAGAATACCACAGGAAAAGATTGTAAATATCAACGCAATCATACACGATATGCTGGCCTCAGGTAAGCACAAAGTGACCCGTAAAGCTTTGCAGTCTCTGGTGGGTAAGCTAAATTTCATGTGCCGGGCAATACCCATTGGTAGACCGTTTTGCCGCAGACTGATTGATGCCTATACAAAGGTAAGTCATCAAGCACACCGTGTTCGCATCACGCGGGGAGTTCGGGAGGACCTAGAGGTTTGGCTCGGGTTCTTGGGGGAATTTAACGGTGTGTCGGTTTTTCAGAATCAAAAGTGGGCTGACAATACATGTCTGCAGCTGTTTACTGACGCAGCCAGCACTGTGGGGTTCGGCGCATACTATAACGGGAACTGGGCAAACGGGCTCTGGCCCCGTGAGTGGGTGGAGGACGGCTCGACTCGTGACATGACACTGCTGGAGTTGTTTCCGATTGTGCTGTCAGTTTGTCTGTGGGGGACAGCCTTTGCTAACAGGAAAGTACTTTTCTTTTGTGATAACCAAGCGGTAGTGTCAATAATAAATAAACAGTCTTCAAAGGCACCCAGAATCATGTCACTGATTAGGCAGCTAGTGCTGCAGTGCCTCAAACACAACATTTTGTTCAAGGCCAGATATATAACAACACACGACAATATTATCGCAGATGCACTGTCGAGATTTCAGTGGGAACGATTCCGCAATGCAGCTCCATCAGCCAATCTGCATCCCACACCACTTCCAGACAATCTCTGGCAGGGCTAACAATCGAGGCAGAGAGGCTCCTTCAGCGATCATTGGCGGCAAACACGTGGGCAACTTACCAGGCAGGAACCCAAGCGTTGCAAGCATTCAGGGCATCACAGGCTGGGAGATGCCTGGCCGGTTCCAATAACTCATCTGGTACATTTCATTGCTCACCTGTCAGTGTCAGGACATGCACCGAGTACGGTAAGAACGTATATGGCCGGTATCTCAACGTACCATAGGCTACACAGCATGGAAGACCGCACCGGCCACTTTGTTATTACTAAAATGATTACGGGGATGCAAAAGTGTCAGGGGAAGCAGGATCACAGAAAACCAATAACAATAGACCTGCTCAAAGTAATTGTAAACAACCTGCAATTTGTCTGCTCTTCTACCTATGAAGTAAGATTGTTCAAAGCAGTATATTGCTTGGCCTTCTTTGGTTTCTTTCGGGTGAGTGAACTCGTGCAAACCAAACTTTCTCAGCCAGGGTGCGCTTTCTTGGACCTAGAAGCCCAAGACACGACTAAGACAGTAACAGTCGCTCTAAGGCATTCAAAAACCGACAGGCACTCACATGGCATAGTTGTTTCCATTTCCGCCATACCTGGCCACAATCTGTGTCCAGTGGCTGCAGTTAAAGCATACCTAACAGTTCGATCACAGGGTCAGACTCAAGCTTTCGTACACTTTGATAAATCTCCCCTGACCAGGTATCAATTTCAGGCCGTGTTAAAAAGAGCACTGGCGCATAGCGGCATCTGCACAGCAGCATACTCTTCGCATTCCTTCAGGATTGGCGCAGCAACGACAGCAGCCGGTAACGGAGTGAGTTCAGATTTGATACAGCACTTTGGTAGGTGGGGGTCAGAATGTTATAAAAGCTATGTACGCATACCTGCAAACATTTAAATCGCCAACCATGCAAGAACAGTTTTCTTCCTATTGATTCATGTTTTCAGTATGGTTGATTGGGCCCAGCTTCCTGACCTGGGCGAGAGAGCACCTACAGGACAGTGACTTCGGTATTCCAGGGGGATGTCTCTGGTTGGCAAGGGGCGGCATGAGGTGGGAGGAGCTGACCGAGCTGATAGATGCCCAGGTCAAAGCAATGCAGACACCACCAAAGGCGGTGGTGATTAACCTTGGTTCGAACGACCTGGGTAAGGTAACCACGTGTCAGCTATATCATGAGATCAAGCTGGCACTCCTGAGGATACACCTCCTCCTACCTGGTGCTGTCATTCTGTGGTCAGACATGCTGCCACGGAGGTACTGGCATGTAGCCAGCCGTGCCCGGGACCTGGACGGGGCCAGGCAGAAGCTGAACAGATGAGTGGGGAACAGGGCCCGTGAGCTTGGGGGGATACGGGTTCCCCACACAGTGTTCAACCGGCAGGAGCAGCAACTGTACCTGCGTGACGGGGTTCATTTGTCACCGGCCAGACTTGATCTTTTCCCTTTCCGCAGTATGCTTGTAGGAAACAATTTCAGTATAGGATAACACGGTGGGTGTACATGAGCGCGAATGGTCGTGGTTGTGGGGAAGCACCTTGGTGCTTGTGGCGGGGTGCTGGTGGACTGCATTACAAGTTACATTTGGCGTCTTGGGATACATCCCAAATTATAAATTATTTAGGATAGGGCTACCCGCTTTACAGCAGGAACCAATTTATCCATTCTGCTTTACAGCAGATGGCTTAGTGTCCGCTTTACAGCGGATGGTCAGCTTGGCAACAATAGTTGCCCTCGCTCATGGTTTGGCAATGGTACTTGCCTGGCAGCGATAGCTGCATAGCAACATGGGTTGCTTGGCAACGGTAGTTGCAGGGCAGCGGGCGCTGCATTGGTAAGCAACATGGGTTGCTTGGCAACGGTAGTTGCAGGGCAGCAGGCGCTGCATTGGTAAGCAACATGGGTTGCTTGGCAACTGTTGTTGCAGGGCAGCGGTTGCTGCAGTTGGGGTTGCTTAACAGGGGTTAAGCTCATTGCCGTAGTCCACCAGTACCTCCACATCCACGACCATTTCATCCAATTATGTCTCTTGTCTTAATTTGAAGCTCCACTATCATGCATGATGGCGGAGCCTGTCATAATGGAGCCATGTCCTTATATAATAGCATTTAGTGATTAGAACTAAATGCCTTTATGTTAGGCTTGGCACAGTTGCTAATATTATTACAGCGAAATACCTTCATTCCGTGCGGCTACGTGCCGTTTTGCATGGTGCCATCGTCTCTGGCCTAGATCCGCTCTTGGCACGTCCGGTAAAGGAGCGTTTGTTTATATTTTCTATGACCTGTTGTAGCGTGACATCAGCTCACGCAGCACTTGCTCTCCAGCTTTCAGCCGTACAACACATAGTTATATTCGCGCATTCATCTATAGTTCGTTGCACCCACCCACCCACCCTGTTGTCCTTAATTCCAAGTTATTCAAGCTTTGCAGTTGTCAATTGGTGGAATTTTACTGGAGCATAATGTTTGTACATAATGATGTTGTCATGAATAAAATGTTGCGGATGGGCGGGGTGCTGGTGGACTGCATTACAAGTTACATTTGGCGTCTTGGGATACATCCCAAATTATAAATTATTTAGGATAGGGTTACCCGCTTTACAGCAGGAACCAATTTATCCATTCTGCTTTACAGCAGATGGCTTAGTGTCCGCTTTACAGCGGATGGTCAGCTTGGCAACAATAGTTGCCCTCGCTCATGGTTTGGCAATGGTACTTGCCTGGCAGCGATAGCTGCATAGCAACATGGGTTGCTTGGCAACGGTAGTTGCAGGGCAGCGGGCGCTGCATTGGTAAGCAACATGGGTTGCTTGGCAACGGTAGTTGCAGGGCAGCAGGCGCTGCATTGGTAAGCAACATGGGTTGCTTGGCAACTGTTGTTGCAGGGCAGCGGTTGCTGCAGTTGGGGTTGCTTAACAGGGGTTAAGCTCATTGCCGTAGTCCACCAGTACCTCCACATCCGCGACCATTTCATCCAATTATGTCTCTTGTCTTAATTTGAAGCTCCACTATCATGCATGATGGCGGAGCCTGTCATAATGGAGCCATGTCCTTATATAATATGCCCAAATGTCACAATGCTTGTCCATTCATACTTTGCCAGATTCTATTCACCAAGTGAAGGCTCATGGTGCTAGAAACCATTATTACCCTGGTCAATGGATTAGTGTGCACTCAATTTTAATCCTCAGCTCCCTGTGGAGTATACAACACAAGCAGCCTTTGAAGCACTAGTAGGTTAACAATCACATTTCACTTCCTACAGGGTACCTATTCACTGCTGGGTGATAGAGGCATATTTTGAACAACGACACTCGCCTCAGGATACACATCTTCCCAAGGCAAGAGTGTCCACTAGCCTATATCAAAAACTTGCATTCACCTTTGCCCTTCAATGCCAACTTTTGGTGGCTCTGTCGTGGCACCACCCTGTGTAGAGCACTAGTTGTGTCCTTTGTGATAAAAATGTGATATCCAATTAGATTGCTGTTCTTATTTCGATTGGCTTCACAAAGACGACGACTACCATAGCAAATGACCTGGTCGATCAGGTAACAGAAAGATTCCTGATTTCAACCACGACAGACAAGCAAAATGACATATTACCACAGTAAAGATACTTATTACTGCCACATTTCCATCTTACAGTAACAGAGGCTCACAGTCTACACAGTATCAAGTAACACTGCACACCACAGGAACATGAAACACTCAGCAGAGGTTGTCTAAAAATAGTACTGCATCTCAATCATTGTGATAAGCGTTTAGTCGTTTGCACTTACATGTACAAAAATACTTGGTCAACTTGACTGACAACTTGGAACACTTTGCAAATGTTTGTCTTCCCTTAATTGTTGAAATAATTTCAGCACAAATTTGACAAGGGATGGCTCTGATTAGATGATTGATATATGCGACAGTCCTGTCCTGAGTGAGTCTGTTTTAGCACAGAAAAGTTGCTTCAAAGGGCAAGGATGAAGACTAGTGGACACTTCTGCTTCAGGGAGATGAAGGAGACACTACATGGAACCTTTGCTTCAGTGTGGCAAAGGATCGAAGCCATGAAGAAACTTATCAATCCATCTACTTTCCAACATTGCTTTATTTAGCCTGATTTGTGATCTGTGAGAAGTACACAAGACCACATGTCACAACTTATATGAACAAATTAATGCAGAATATTGAAATTCCTGTGTCATGTTGTAAATAATGTCTGCCACATTCACCTATTTTCAGTTTGTGCACTTATTGATTAAACTCATTAGATTTAATAAATATTGGCCTATTCTATGGGTGACTATAGGTAAAAAAATAAAAAGTTGAAATAAAGGACAAAAGTATACGCAATAATAGTCAAATGTTACGAATAAAGAATAAATGTTACAAATATAGTTCATTGTTTACATACAAACAAGGAATTCAAAATACAAAACGACACCAGTGAACAACTCGCAAACAAAACATGTCAAATGTAAAGTAAGAACAATGTGTGCTGAAGAGTGTCAGTGCACAGAAAGGACACTAAAATGCTAACAGACAACGTTGCTACTAAAAAACGCCAGATGGTGCTGCAATTTGTAAAACATTCCAAGTTTAATCAGCTTGTTCTGCTTTGTAAATAATAGATGCATGTTGAAGTGCTCAATGTATTATGTCATTCCTCGTGCACTCAGCATGTGATGTCACATATATATATTTATAAGCAGGTAAAACACACTTGGTCAATTAAGATATTAAATTTGACATAAAACACCACTAGACATGATCATTTACCATTTAAATTGTTTTTCCTGCTCTCTTAGGCATTGTTTTATATGCAGAGATTAGGATTACCATGTGAATTTTCTTGTAAATTGAGACGGAAATAGCAATCAGCTGTACACACGTTTTCTCCCAATCAACCGGTGATTCAGTTAAAAAGTACCCAATGATACAACTTGAAATAATTTTTATGCAGTGGTTAGAAGAAATTGTACCTTAAATCATTATTTTATCAGGAATAATATATTCCAATATCGTGTTATTTTAGTTGTAGCTTTCACTATATATATTTAAAATTATAAAAGCCATAACGTAGCCCTTTGGTACAGTTGATGGCTATTGCAGGATATATTTACATAGGGAACAATTTGACCAGTCACCGTCAGGACTTCCTGTGCCATGGTTGCTGTAAATAATGGTGATGACCGATGACTTCACACAATGTTTCACCAATGTTAATGTAAACGATATTGAATTTAAGTAAATTCTGAATAAAATTAATAAAATATACCACAAATATCAGTTCAGGTATACAATGAACATGTTTGTATAACCAGATACCGGAAGTAAAATAATGGGATTAAACAGCGTACTTCAGTTTGGATTTGTTGACACCCACACCTCTGTATATCTGTGTATATATTCTATCTATACATGTTGTGTTTATGTATTGAGCATTCAGTCATGTCAACGGATATATATTTTCATAAATATTATACTCTGTGTAATCCGA